GGACCAAGGGCGCAACCTTGGGGAACTCCAGCCTCTATAGCGTAGTCATCGGATGTTGTGGTGTTGCATCTCACGGCGAAGGCTCTGTTCTAAAGTTTCTGTTTCCTAGCAGGATCGTTCTGATTTTATGGATAAGGCCATCAAGCCAGACTCGGTCGAAAGCCTGTGCAACGTCAAGGAATACCGCACTGCAGTATTCCCGAAGCTCGAATGCAGTCCTTATTTCTGTTGTTAATCTGTTGACTTGCTCTATTGTTCCATGGCTTTCTCGAAAGCCAAATTGATGTGCTGGAATAACGTTGTGCTTTTTCAGATATGGAATGATGCGCGTCAGAAGGCATTTTTCGAACCGTTTTGACAGACACGAGAGTAAACTTATCGGTCTATACGAAGCTGGTATTGTGTGATCTTTCCCTGGCTTTGGGATCATTATGATTACCGATTTTTTCCATTTTTTTGGGAAATAGCCAAGTCGTGTAATCCCGTTGAAGAGTTTACAAATAACCTCAACTGCACAGTTTGGAAGTTCGATTAACATTTTGGGAGTTATTTGATCACCGCCTGGGGCCTTTTTTGGTTTCAATTGCTCGCTGATTACTTTTGCAATTTCATTTGGTTGAAACAGAATTGGCTCCGTCTCAGATTCAATTCGAATTGACGGCGACGGTAGTGCGAATGAATTAGTTGCAGGGTTTGGCTGAAAAACATTTCGAAGGTGTAAAGCAAATGTACAAGCTCTGTCTTTGTCGCTTCTGGCCCAGCTGCCTGAAGAGTCTCTTATGGGGATTACTGTTTCGGCCGGCGCACTTAGATTTGGGTGGGCCCTCCACAAGGGATGCTTAGTGCTGGTGGGTGAAAGTTTCTCAATGTACTGGCGTTGTGCTTTTTCTTCTTCTTGCCTTAGAGCCCTGGTAAGTCTGCGACCAGCTTCTTTAAGACTTTGTTTTGAGGATGGTGATCTGCTGGTTTGCCAAGTACGTCTCAAACGTCTTTTCTCCAGAACAAGCTGTTCGATTTCATGGTTAGTTTTGTGTTGGTGTGTGTGCCCATCCCTCCCTTGCGGTGTTGAGACTTTGGCTGCTGCGACGAGTACAGACTCCAGGGCATCGGCGTAGCAGTCGATGTCCTCCTTGATGTTGAGCTGTGGAGTTAGTTCAATGTGGGAACTTACGTACTTTTTGAACTTCAGCCAGTTGGTTCGATGCGACGTCAGCCTGTGAGGGTGCTCGATTAATTCAGGGCTTTGAAGAAGAGTTATTAGCACTGGTGAGTGGTCCGATGATAGATCCAAAAGCGATTTTGCAGATATTAGATTACGAGAGATGTTTTTTGTCACAGCAAAATCAATTAAATCAGGTAGTTTTCTAGGATCTGTAGGCCAGTATGTAGGGCTGCCTGGTGAAACGTAGTCCAGTTTGTTGCATGTTTTAATGAGTGCATTATATAGTTGCCTTCCTTTGGGGGTCACAAGGCGGGATCCCCAGTGCGTGTGCTTGGCGTTGTAATCTCCTGCTGCTATGAATCGCTCTTCAAGCGAATTGTAGAAGTCCATGAATTGGTCTTCGGAGACTGTAAAGCGGGGTGGGCAGTAGACAGCGGCAATGGCAAGGTTGCAGTTGCCCAACTGTAATTTTATCGATGTAGCTTGCAGATGATTTTTAGCAAACCGTTGGTGAAAGTGGTGTTTGACGCGGTCTCGTATTAAGATTCCAGTGCCGCCATGCGCTTTACCATCTGGATGATCTGTGCCATAGAACGTGTATCCCCGTATTTGAAAGTTATATTTGCTGGTGAGATGCGTTTCTGCCAGCAACATAACGTCGATGTGGTTTTCGTTCAGAAATTGAGTTATTTCAGGTTTATGCCGTGAAACACCGTTGGCGTTCCACAGAGTTATTCGAAGGCTAGGCATGGTTTATTTGGACTGCTGAGCTGCAAGCATTTGTAGTAAGATATTTTGGTTTTGCATAAGGGTTTGCATGGTGGTTTTCATGAAGGACATAAATTCCATCATATTTTGTTGCAAAGTAATCATCATAGATTCCATGTTACTTTGTGGCTGTCCCATGGCCTGCTGGATGTTATCAACTTTCGGCTCTATGTGAGCTGTGCCTGATCTTAGAGCACTGGCGTAAGAAATTCCGTTGGTGGTAATTGAAGGGCCAAATGATGATCTGGCTGCTTTTGCGAAGAAAACTTCCGGTGTCGTTTGTGATCTGATGTAAGTGTTTTGTGTGTTCAGGGAGCGTGCCGTTGTTGCTCGTTGCATCCGACTTTTCATCGCCTTGTAGACTGGACAGCCTCTGTAGTTAGCTGTGTGGTTTCCTTGGCAGTTTACACACTTTTTAGTGAGAGAGTCTTCCTTGTTGGCAGGGCAGGGTTCGGAGCCGTGGCAGTTTCCACAAGCTACACATAGTGACCTGAGGGTGCAGTAAGCCCTGGTATGACCGTATTCCTGGCAGTTTGTGCATTGCACTGGTCCGGTCCGTTTGTGCGGCTCTTCCACTGTGATCCTACGGTGCAGAAGGTACTGCAACTTGTAGATCGGGTGCACTGCGTTTTTTTTCAAAGTTCTGCTGTCTGGCTCCAGCTCGACCTTGAAGAGTGGTTGCGGCTTCTTGTTTTTGTTCATAATGTTTATAACATTTTTTGCGCAAAAACCGTTTTCTTTAAGGCCTCTGTAATTTCGCAGGGGGTCACATCGGGTTCTATTCCCTTAAGCACAACTTGCAAACCTTTGCAACTTTTCAGCTGGTACGTGTAGTAATTCTTTTTGGCATCGTTTAAGTACTTCGACACTGCTCGGAAATCGTCTTCGGTTTTGGTTTGGAGTTTAGTTTCGCTTATATTCCCTTTCATAAGCGGAATAACATGAAAGTTATCTTTTCCGACAAGCTCAACTATTTTGTTGACTAGGGCATTCGAGATCTTCTCCCGAATAAAAATAGGTGGGGGCTTTAGTTTCCTTGGGGCTAATTGTTCAGACTCTGTTTCAGGCTCCGCCAGAATGGAAAATCTGTTTTCATCTAATGGCCGGGATTTACGGGGCCTTTGCTGGAACGATTTATTTTGGGCTTATTGCCGTCCGAGTTTTTTGGGGGTGTTAGCTTGCGCTTGGAGATATTAATGTAGCGATCCATGCCTGTCTGAATGGCCGAACCCGCTTGCAGAATTGTCACTTCTTCTACCGTAGCTTTGTTTTTGCCGTTTGCACCGATTTTTGCACTTGGTTGTGTTGTTGCTTTACCCGCAGCACAAGAAGAGGGTGGAGTCGTTATTGCATTGTTGGCGACAGAGACCGTTGTAGTAGTCGTAGTAGTTTCTGTTGTTGTTGCGCTAGGCGGCAGAAGCTCTGTTGGAGTCTTGCATTGCTCACTCCATGGCGTTCGAGCGGTGAAGAGCAGGGCGGGAGAGCAAGAGTTAGCTCTCTGGTTTTCGGCGGTCAGTAAACTTGCACCTTCAAGCACTTTCGGTTCTAGAGTATTACTCGTCACCGTAAAATAGGCGTTGTTACGGGCCAAAGAGAGACGACGTTTGTCTTGTTCTCTCTGAATTTTTTCACGGGTTTCGTCTACTCATTTGTTTATAGTTAGTGCGTAAAGATTAATTATTTAATTAATTAAAACTTTAGTTTACGATATGCGATTTGCATCGCGAAACGCAAAACCTCGCGCTTATTTTTTTTTTCGAACGTTTTCGACTGATTGGCTAATTGTTTTTCCGGAGTTAAATACAAGTGACTTCATTAATTTATCTTTTATAAATAATTTATTAAAAATAAAAAACCAAAGAATGGTCCAAATTTGCCTGAACAAAATTATTGGCACACTTGGGTTTTAATTAACTATTTCGTTAAAACTTTATCGATTTGGCCCTTTTTTTTAAATTTCAGATTTGCCTCTATAATCTTAATGGTATAATGATTAATTTTATAGCTAAAATGGTTTTAGTGCCTTAAAATAAAGGAAAAGTGGTTTGACTTTACAAGGTAAACATAAAATCAACCGCATGTGTCCAAAAATTAAAATTTAATAAGCAGGATCAATGCAAATTAAAAGTCAACATTGGGGAAAGGATGCCCAGAAGCCATTTTTCCCATTCGGAGTCCTTTGCTACATTTTAAAGGACCCACGCAATTGCAAAATGCAGGGCACACTGGCTAATCCATGGCTTTAAGAGGCCAGGAAAGCGTAAGGATCGTATAAAAGGACAATGTCAACCCCCAGATCTCCTCAACACGTATAGAAGTTGATAATAAGAAGGACTTTGGTAAGGATATTCACCCAACAGCCTTTTTTCAGGCCCTGCATGATGGTTTCTACAAACGAATTGAACCTAGAAAAAATCCATCGGCTTGAAAAGGGTTCTAACATAAGCTCTTTGCTTGGGGAAACGATTATTAAATCATACGTGAAGGTTGAAAGGACCTAAAAATCGATTGGCATACTCAGATATAAATTTCGCTGCACTAAAAGGTTGTTTTTGACTTTTAAAATCTAAAATTTAAAAAAAGGGCCAAATCGATAAAGTTTTAACAAAATAGTTAATTAAAACTTAAGTGTGCCAATAATTTTGTTCAGGCAAATTTGGACCATTCTTTGGTTTTTTTTTCATAAATTATTTATAAAAGATAAATTAATGAAGTCACTTGTATTTAACATAAAATTAATGATTCTATCTAAAAATATTTTGTTTTATTTTAATATCAGCATATTATAAGAAGAAAAATAGCCTCAAAGTTTAACATACTTGCTGTGCCAATAATTAAGTTTGTCACTGTAGTATGCTCCGACGTCTACTAGCAGTTACTTCTCCAAAAGAAGGTTCAACCAAATATTAGCGAGCTCTTAAGTGTACTTAAACTTTTTTGACTGCATTTAATTGCACAATTATGGTATATTGAAGCTTTTTTGGTACCTCTTTACAAATTAAGCCACTTTACTTTTCCATTAATACCCCATTAATTGTGTATACAAATAATAAAACATTTTCAAGTTTACCTTTTTGGGTTAGTACCAAGTACATACGTATGTATACACACAAAAGTCCTTCTTAAATTACTCTAACAGCCATATACAACAGGGAACTAACTTTTTTCTTTAATCAGCTTAGAAAAATATGACGTTTAAAAGTAACAAATATATTTAGTAATTTACATGTATAGAATCATATGAACACGTACCCATGTTCAAGTGAATGTTTAGATTATCAGCTGCTTTTCATTTTCATTTCAGCAACGCTGAACTTGGACTCAATATAGCGTCGATCAGGTCGCGATGAAAATGGAATGGCTAGTAAAGACACAGAGAATAATTTAAAAAAAGAATAATATGCAGTTTACACTTCGTTCTTGCATTTTGGTCAAAGCTCAAATGATTTTAAGCTCTGAGTTTACTTAAAAACTCTGAAAACACGCATTCACTTATTAATTGTAAGTATTAAGTAATTCATATATATAATTAGCAGAGTGTCTTTATCAAGCTATGTGTAATTTAACGCCAAGTTATGATACTAATTATAATAATATTTATGCCGATACGAACTCCCTACGCCAGCGATAAAACTTTAATTTTTCCAGTGTGACAGCACTTTTGAGAGTTAATCAGTAAAGAGCATGCAAAGGTCGTACTGTCAATCAGCTGGGCTTGTTAACGAGCAGTTAACATTTAAACATCTTATTTGAGGGAAAGAGCCTTTAAAGGATATTCTTAACTACTTTGGCAAGACATGTCTGGCACTTTACAAAAAAATTACTAATCAATATATGCCCTTAGTTCTTGCAGGTCATTTGCTGGGTTTTTTGTTTTGTTTTCCGTCCATTTTTGACATAAGCAAAACTCTTCTCTGACAACAGATACTAAAAATTATAAAATAGTTTAATCTTTTCGCTGTAGTCTGAACTTTCACCCGTTAAGTTCATTTTAGCAGACTGGCAACGCTATGCAATTTTCTGGCATTTTTTGTCGATCTGAGTACCGATGTGATAAAAGGGCCTCACGAAAAGAGTTCTCTAGCTGTTTAGCTCTCGCTCTCTCTCATATCTGACAAACAGATTTGAGTACTAAGCTATATCTCGTGCCACTGAAGTTGTGTTTCTGCCCAGGGTAGCACCACTTACGTAACCTGAAGATCAATATCATACTTCTATTAAAGTGACTATCGACAACGGGTCCGTAATGAAAGAAATCTCAAAGAATTTATTGTTTTCGCAAGGCAGACTTTCTGAATAATTTTATTTCTGGCTTTAATTGGTCTTTACCCATGATGCCCTTAACGTGTTTTACACTGCATTAGTCATTTTTGAATTTCTGTGATCGGTAGTATTATCCGTTAATCTCCAATAAATAACCTCGGTGTAGCAAAGAGTTGACACACATAAGAAATGTACTTTTTAGGAAATGTAAGGAACAAACTTTATAAGAAATATTAAAATATCGGTTCCCAATCTGTTTTTGCTATTTATTAATATTCTCTGTTCGCTTAAGCCTAGTATCCAGATCGACAAATGATTACGCTAGCGTAAAAACTTTAATCTTTCCAGTGTGACCAAAGTTTCGAGACTTCATCAGATTTAAGCGTGCTACGGTCGTACTGTCAATCAGCTGGGTTTGTTGACAAGCAGTTAAAATTCAAATATCGTATTTGCGGGAAAGAGCCTTTAAATGATATTATCAAATACCTTGGCAAGACAAGTCTGCCGCTGTACAAAGATAATAAAAAACAATACAATTTAAATTTAACAGTTGTTTTTTTTAATTTACTGATAATTATTTGCTAATTTAAAGTTCATAGCTGCACTTTTGTTGTGTTTTTTCATACATTCTGGACCTAAAAAACATTTTGCTCTGACAAGAGGCACCCCAGATGGTATTAATGTTATTTTGTCCTCACATGTAAACACCTGCATTCGACTTTTGTGAGTTTTTTGAGTTCTTCCCTCCATTTCTTATAATGTTCAGTGAGAAGCGCACGCCAAAAGATTAAATTTTTTAATCTTTTCGCTAGTGTTCACTCAAAGTTCATTTCCGCAGACTGGCAACGCTATGGAATTTTCTGGTATTTTTTCGTCGATCAGGGGACCGACGTGAAAAAAATGCCCGACGAAAAGTGAACGCCAGCTGTTTGCCTCTCGCTCTCTCTCATGACTGGCGTACGGTTTTCGTCGATCTGGATACTAGGCTTTAATGTTCAGTGGTATAATAAAAACTTAAGCCGTATTTAGGTCCACTTCTCGGCATAACTCTGATGTCTTTTCATTACTTTTTTCATTATTTATTAAAGATCTTCCATCAATCATAAGTCATTCTCGCGTACTTATGTACGCAGATGATGTAAAGTTGTGCTAGCAGTATAAGGACATTGTCTGCCATTAAGACTTAAATTTCGATCTAGATCATTTTCAAAACTTTTGCCGAGATAATTTAATAAATTTAAACGGTTCCAAGTGCAAGCTGATGACTTTTTATCGGGTCAATCCGATATACATATATATATATATATATACACATTAAATGGCAGCTCTTTGGCTAGATAAACTCTTTTAAACGATCTTACCGATCTTTTAGACCCTAAACTAAAGTTTTCTAATGACATTTCCTAAATGGCTAGTAAAGCCAGAGGAGTGCTTGGTTTTCTTAAAAGGTGGACAAAAGAACTCGATGATCCTTGTGTCCCTAAAACTTTATTTATTTTGCTAGTGCTTCCGATTCTGGAGTATGGGTCTCCCGTCTGGAGTCCACAATACGGAATACATATTGGTCGGATTGAATCAGTACAAAAAAACTTTCTTCATTTTGCTTTACGGCGCCTTAACTGGGATGCAAATCTTAACTTACCTTTTTATTCTAGTAGACTTCTGTTGATTAATTTACCCTCCCTAGCCAACCGTAGAACGATGCTTGGTCAGTCTTCATTTAAAACCTTATACATGGTGATATTGACTGCCCCGACTTGGTTAGTCGGCTAAACTTTTTTGTGCCAAGTAGATTAACTAGAAATTATATTCCCGTAATATTAAATCATCGTAGATCAAACTATGCTTTGCATGAGCCTTTCAGAGTATTATGTTCTTACTATAATAGACTTTTCCAATGATCTCAAATCTTGACTCTCTGCCGCTCGTAAAACGATTAGTACTGACTTCATTGGCAGAAAAATGATCAACTGCGGTTTCGACTGCGGCATCGACTGCGGCATCGACTGCGACGGCGGCTGGCCTCTTCTCCTCAGCCCGATCCAACCGATTTTGCCACTCCTTGTCCGCGGCCGCTGCCCTTGCCACTGCGCGGGCGCCGAAATGGTCGTCCGCTGGCAGCTTCACATCGGAGATCATGCCGTCGTCCTCCACTTCGCTGGCCGGTGACGGGGATTGTGACACCAAAGCAGACGCCAGCAACTAAAGCACGGAACCGGAGTCCCACCTTCATCTCGCCGCAGATTGTTGTTTGGTGACGCTACCCCTCACCTAACGAACTTGTTCCGGTTGGCTTTTCCTCGTACTCATTTTCACGTCTGTAATTGAATAAGCCGGTCCATCACCTCTCACCCGCTTACAAAGCCTTGGTTTCGGTGCCTACTTGGTTCCGTTGTTTGCGGCGGACCGCACCGGTAATGGTGCTCTGTTTATCCTTTGGACTCTCTCCCTCCGGCAAGGGGACTCTGACGAGCCTTAGTGTGCGTTACCCGGGAGCGGTATCCACAGCTTTTGACCCTCCCTGTCCCGCTTTTACGCTGCTTAATTGTGTGCGGGTGAGATCGATACCGCGTATCGTCCTCTCCCTTTGCATGGGTTACTGTGTGCCCTTTATATGTTCTCTTCCGCATGCGGAGTTTGCCCATCAATATTTTGCGGCTTTATTTGGCTGATGTGTGCGGTTCGCTCCTAGCCGGTGCTTACGGGCCGCAATTTACATATAACAGTCAAGTCTAAATGTATAATTTTAAACGGACCTTCATATCTTGGTGCCAATTCGCCGCAAATTCTTCTGATGCCTTGGACAAATGGAGCTCCTTGGCCCAGACTGTGTCCCCGATACGTGGTTTCCATGGGCGACTCCGGAGATTGTAGTGGCGTGCCTGATCCTGCGCCGCCTTCTCCATATTTCGTCTGACCATCTCAAATATTTTATTCAGTTCCTAGGCGTTTTCTGACGCAGTTTATGGTTGCCCTCCCGTGCCGGTGGTTTCCTCGTCGTAAAAGGAGTTTGGTAACCTGGGTTCCCCTGTGTGACGAAATCCGGCATGTCTCCTGTGGACTCTGTGTTCACGTGCCAACTGCAGCTCCAGCCATTTTTCGACCCATGTCCTTTGGTCTGCCCCGGCGAACTGGGAGTTCATTGTTTTCTCGTCGTGTTCGCTGACTCCGTCGGGTTTTCTTGGGCGTATACGAGCCTGTTAACTGGTGTCGGACACCTAATTCTCCCAATAATCTTTTGAACGCCTGGTTCTGGTGACTTGTACTCATCGGTAATCAGAACCTTGTGCACGCCATATCTCGAAGAATCGAGAATCCGCTCGTTTTTTTTAGCGCTTCCGTAGTTCTGTCTACTTTGAGAACCGATCTATCAGCACCAGAAGCATCGCATTCCTGTGCTTAGAACGAAGTATCGGTCCGACGAAATCTGCGCATACCGTAGGCCATGGCACCTCCGCCTAAAGCTGACTAGGTCTGTACCGCAGGCAACTCTCACAATTCTGCACATACTTTCTAATTTTGAAGTGCATTCCCGGACAATGGTACCTGGCTGCAACCCTCAAAATCGTCGACCGGCCGTCGGCAGGTCATGGTGAGTGAGTGATTTTGGGCTATCTTACTTCTCATGTGACTTATCTAGTTACACTGCTTTCTTCTGTTATTTTTGTTCATATGCTTTGCCTTTAACCTTCGACACGTTTCTGGCAGTAGCTGCCGCGACAGTCACCCTCCAAGTACGGCTTTAATTGCTTGGCCCACTTGCCTAGCATTCCTTTTCAGTTGCCGAGTATTTCCTTTCTGATCCATTGAGGGACCGTCTGGAATACGCTCGGCTTGGTCGGAATTTTGTGTGAGAATAGCACCGAGTCTGTAATCGCTGGAGTCGGTCTGCAGCACAAACGTCTTAGTGAAATCGGGGTATGCTAAAATTTATTCGACGACTGCTGATGGTCGTCTGTCCACTCTCACTTTGTTGTCTTCTGGAGAAGGGCGTTGAGCGGATGCAGCAGAGTGGCAAAATCTCGCACAAAACGCCTGTACCATGACGCGTCTCCCAAATACTGCCGAAGCTCCTTAATGTTTGCCGGGGGCTTAAGCAATGCAATCGCCGATACCTTCCTTTTTGAAGAATTTGCACTTCTTAGCGCTTACTTTCTGGTTCGCAGCCCGCTCCTGAACACTTCCTTGTGGTTTCGCATGTGCTCCTCTGGAGTCCGTCCGAAGACGTTAATATCGTCCTGATACGCTAAGCCATGCCGTACATCCTATTATCAATAGCTCGTCTACTTTGTCGTTGATCTCACACTGCATTTTATGGCAATACCGCTGTTTTACTGGTTGATCGTCCACAATGGTGATCATGTGTACTGCCACGTTGGTTGTGCCCTTTCTGCTTTCTGGGAATCGAAAGATTTTCCTCCAGCCATCCTCTGTGTCTGCCCTTTGCCGGTATCAACATGCTGTGTCCGGCGCACTCGACTTCGGTACCGATCCTGGTGAGGAAATTCCATCCTAACACCAGGGCGTCGATCAGTCCTGGTAAAATCATAAGCTCCATAGACAAGTTTTTTGTGCCAAATCCGATGTTGATCTCTAGCTGCTAGTTTATCTTCCCGCACCGACCGTCTGCCATCCGTACTTGCCTTCTCTTGTTTCCGACCCCCCATGCAGCTTGTCCGCCAGCTCCTCGCTGATGAAGCTTGCCGAGGCACCGGTATCCAGCGTGGCCTAATATTTGCACTGAACACTATGGAATAGGGTCTGGTCACTGGGCGTTTTTTGATCCTGAACAGTCCGGACTCCTACTTTTCCGCATCGGCATCAGAAGGTGAGCCGTTCATTTCGGCACTCATTAGCCCAGTGGTGTGGACCTCCGCATCTGTGTCAGGCCTGGGCCGGATTCAGGAGGTATCCGCCGCAATCATTTGCTGATTCGTGGCCACGCGGCGAATGCCTCGGTGGTGAGTCTGCTGTCTTCTTGGCCTTGGCACCGGATGGCTCTGCACATGCTGCTTATGGAGATTGTAATTTTTCTTGTTTTTTTAGTATTATTTTTTAAGGTTGTATCCAATATTACATTATGTATTAAAATTTGTTTCTAGTTTTTAAGAAATATTTTTGATTATTTTTGTTTTTTTTTTTAATGTGTAGTCTTCTCTTTCATTTAATTTGTTTTTATAATTGGTGTTATACCTTATATTTGTTTTTAGATTTTAATTATTTAATTTATTTTATATTTTTGGTTTTAATGCTTGTGTTTTTTTATAAATATTATTAGATTTTAATTATTTTAATTTGGATTTTATGTTTTTTTTCTGATGTTTTTAAAGAGAATATATGTTTAATTATTGTGTACTTGTTTGTGTTTTTTAAAAAGCCTCATATTGTAAAAAAAAGTTTTTATGGAACTCGCAAAAAAATAATAATTGATAATTAATTATAACTAGCTTAAAATTGCGCAACATGATATTTTCTTCAACGAATTTCTTTACAAAAAGTCCTAGTTAACTTTGCAATAAAAAAAGATAAAATGTCTTTGGCGAGAATCGACCTCGAATCCTTAGAATTTATAATTAAGGCATTGGTTTTGCACAGGGGACAATAAAGGCGTTTCGCTGCGGCTCTGTGGCGAAAATATTCTAAGTACACGAATGCAATTCTAAATGTAGAATAACTGCCCGATCTTCCCCTGTCCCTATTTTCAAGCATCAAACGAAACACAGCATTTTTTTGGTCTATGTCTCATTGTTTTGTACTCTCTTAAGCCTAGTAGTGAGATCGAAAAATGAGTTCGCTAGCCTAAAAACTTTAATCTTTCCAGTGTGCTACGATCGTACTGTCAATCAGCTGGGGTTGTTGACAAGCAGTTTAAATTCAAAAATCGTATTTGCGGGAAAGAGCCTTTAAAATATATTTTCAACTACCTTGGCAACCCAAGTATGCCGTTGCACAAAGAAATTAATAAACAATACCATTTAAATTTAACAGTTTTTTTTATTTACTAATAATTATTTGGTAATTTAAAGTTCACAGCTGCACTTCTAACAGGCGATTTTTCTACGTTTTTTATTGTGTTTGTTTTCGAACATCTTTTACCTAAGAAACACTTTGCTCTGACGAGAGGCACCCTAAAAGATTAACACTCTTACAAGAAAAGTCCTGCAATCGACTTTTGGGGTTTTTAGATTTTTTCCCTCCATTTTTTAAAATGTTTAGTGAGAAGCGCACGCCAAAAGATTATATTTTTATTCTTTTCGCTTTCAGCAGACTGGCAACGCTATGAAATTTTCTGGTATTTTTTTCGTCGATCTGAGTACCGAGGGGAAAAAAAGCCTGACGAAAAGTGTGCGCTAGCTGTTTGCCTCTCGCTCTCTCTGATGACTGAGTACTAGGCTTAACAAACTGTGTTTTTTTAAACAGCAAGGTCGCCGTTTCAGTGTAAAAGGGCTGTACGGCCGGTGTAAGCCGATTATAATTTTAGCGCCGTTCCATTTTAATGATATCAAAGTTAACATTATATGATTTTAAATAATTTGCTGTTTGCATATTAAAGGTGGCAATTTACACAATAATAAACTAAGTACGACCATCTTTAACTGATTCCTACGAAACTGGTTCTCATTGAATCTAGAGTTATTAAAATATTAAGAAGAATGTAAGTAATTAGGTTGCCGTTATGTGACTAAATAAAATACACAGTGATAACTAAACATAATTTATGTACAGTGACGAACATACAATGGCTCGAAGCTTATTTCGCGCAGACATTAAACAAAATTTTACTTTATTAAAATTACAAATAACTATTTTCTAAATCCTTGAAACAAAACTATATTTCATATAAAAACTAAAAAGTAGTAGTTAGTAGTAGTTTTTATTTCGCTTATTATTATTTCTTAATTTTAATATTTCGTTTGACCGCCCTTCTTCTTGTTGACGGTTATCAATCTATTTCCCATAGATTCGACCAATTTTTCGGGGCTTATACGGGAATTTTACGCCACTCCTCCAATAAGGGACCTTCAAATCATCTCCAGGTCCAAAATATCCCACAAGTTTTGAAATTACGTTCAAGTCTGATCACTGTGCTGGCGTTTTGATTATGAGGCGGCAGTTTCAGACCAACCAAAGCTTTACATTTCCAGCTGTGTACTTGGGGTCGTTATCTTGGTAGAATCTAAATCGATCTAGTATTCCCAAGTTACCTGCACTTTGCAGAAAGTTGTCTTTTAAAATGTTTAAATACATCTTAGCATCAATGAGACCATCAATGAACACTAAATTTCCGAGACCAAATCATTCGTAGTGTTATGTTTAAAATTTAAAATAAAAAACCCATTGTTTAATATACATATGTATGTGGAAAAATTGCGCCATTAAAGACAAAGTATAGTTTTGTTGAAAAAAGAATGACCTAAATACATACATGAATTTTTGATTAAAGTTGGATTTTTAAATATTTTGGGGGTGTCCTTAGAGATAAGCGAGTGAGTGTATGCTGATACAGTATTTTGCGCAGTTAGTAAATGAAAGTTCAAGACGGTATTGCTGCCAAACTAATTTTACAGCTAACATTTTGCGTGTCCTCCTTTCTGGTTTAATACACCTTTAAGACTTTTCCCATGCAGGAAACTAATTTTAAGTGGTCTAGTCTCTCAGTTTTAAATCTATCTGCTTGTAAAAAAGTATAGTGTCGTTGTTTTGAATTATTTTTTGTTGATCTTTCGGATTTGCTAATATTTAAATATTATGGAATAACGGTTTTAATTAAATTAAAATCGGACATCTATATCATATAGCTCCCATTGGAAAATTAAAAAAAAATTAATGCTGTTTTTCTATTTATCAATCAGTATTACGCTTTTAGTTTTATCAAAACCAACGGTCCAAGGTCGCGGTCAAACCCATCTTAACCAACCAACCCAGCGGCCGTCTTTCGATGTTGATCGCAAAAAGCAAAGGCTTCTTTCTGGCTAAGAGTAATGATATGAGTCATAAGTATTGATAACTTTTCTTATATTGCAGTCATTTTTAATTCCAATGCCAACTGACTACGTGTAGTTTGCGGATTATCGTTAATATTTTTGTAGTGTTATTGAATTACTCGAGGTCATACGTTGGTTATATTTTAATTTCTTCTATAACACAACGATTTATTCCACTTAAGAAGAAATTAAAATATAACCAACGTATGACCTCGAGTAATTCAATAACACTACAATTATTGTTTACAAGGTCGATACAAAACCAACGTTAATATTTTTCTTAATTTGTTTCTATTTTCTAATTTTTTATTTTTCGCTACTGGTAAGCTCTGTCGGTCTGCATCCAGATGTGTTTAGATGCAGCCGATTTTCTGTTTCTGCACGATTAATAATGTTTTATATTGTCCTTATCTTAATGTCCATTTTTTTTTTCAATTCCTTTGCCTGTTTACACTTATATTAGTTGTAGAATAAATTAGTTTATAGGACAATCGGAAAAAAATTCAAAAACTATAACTTTGTTGTTTTTCATTTTTTTTCTTTGGGATTTGGTAAAATTTAAATACTATGGAATTACGGTTTTAATTGAATTAAAACACCTATATCATATGGCTCCCATAAAAAATTTAAAAATTAATAAATATAAAAACTAAAAAAATATTTTTAATTAGCTGTTTTTCTATTTATAAAAATATTCCTTTGAGATATAGTAATTATTTACAATATCAGAATTACGCTTTTTGTTTTGTCACAATCGGACAACAATATCATATGGAAATAATGGGCTCTTCAGCGCCTATAAAAGGATGGCGCAAGCCCAGCTCAAAAGACAGTACGAGTGCGAGAATCAAAGTCAAACCCCAAGTTCCCAAGGATCAAGATCGCAAAGTCGAGACGCCGAACGACGATAAGTCTACAAGTCAGAGGCTTCAAAGCGGAGATCCAACGGTGCTAGGACGTGGTCAAACCCTTGCGCGGTGTCAGGCAATAAAGGTGGCTGGGCGATAAGGGAAAAGCCAGTTATACCTGCTAGGCGATTCACCCTACCGACAAAGTCCAGACTGAACTTCGGGAGCCTGCGATAAAGGTGGCTAGGCGATAAGGGAAACGTTGTTTCACCTGCTAGACGATACACCTTGCCGGCCCCGGTGGGGAGGTTCGCATAACATCCAGGTTCTTTGTGGAGCCTTCACGATCTCAGACACCCGGAACAGCAGGTCAGGAGCGACGCCGCAGAGAAGCAGTAGCAATAAGTATGTAGTAGCAGTGGCAATATATATATAGTAAGAGAAATAATAAACCAGAACACGGTCAATCACATAATATAAATTTTGTGGAACGAACTCACAACCTCTCACGAGCGAAAAACTAAAGAATCAGGTCGTTACACTGCCATAGAAACGATGGCGAAATTCAGCGCAAAAATCGACATAGCATTATTGTTTTTATGCATAAAAATCAAAATGTAGTCGTTTTGTAATAACTGCAAGGGTATATAAACTCCGGCTTTCCGAAGATATCTTCCCTTCTAGTTTTTATTAAATTTGAGAATATTTAAATTAAAATTTTTTATATCACTTAACATTCTTGCTTGTTTTCCGTACGCCAATACAAAGAAAAATAATGAATTTCGAATTCGTGGTAAAACTAAAGTCCTCCGAAAGTAATTGTCCTCGTTTTTAAAATTGACCTTCAATCTATTTATACCCGTTACTCGTAGAGTAAAAGGGTATATTGTATTCGTGCAAAAGTATGTAACAGGTAGAAGGAAGCGTTTCCGACCCTATAAAGTATATATATTCTTGTTCAGGATCACTAGCCGAGTCGATCTAGCCATGTCCGTCTGTCCGTCTGTCTGTCCGTCTGTCTGTCCGTCTGTCTGTCCGTCTGTCTGTCCGTCTGTCTGTCCGTCTGTCTGTCCGTCTGTCTGTCCGTCTGTCTGTCCGTCTGTCTGTCCGTCTGTCTGTCCGTCTGTCCGTCTGTCTGTCCGTCTGTCTGTCTGTCTGTCTGTCCGTATGAACGCTGAGATTTTGGAAACTATAAAAGCTAGAAGATTGGCATTTGCATGTAGATTTTAGGAGTTTGTTTCAAAATGGTGCTACGCCCCCTCTGACGCCCACAAGCCACAAGATGTGGCCACAGTTTTGATGATATTATGAAAATTTTAATTGATATGTATTTGTTTCGTCAATAAATATCGATTGGCCTAATAAAAGTTTGCCACGCCCACTCTAACGCCCAAAAACCCATTTAACGCTTATGCCTGGCTAGCGCCTACATTTCCGCCTTTCATGGCGCCTTCTAACGGATGTCTTTGGAACAGATGGCCCTGGTGCTCAACAGAGTCAACGTTAATTCTCGATAAGGATTTCTATTAAAGGAAATTGCGATGGTTTTCATTTGTCAATACCGAACTATATCCCAAGAACTATGCAAATCAAATCAAGTTAGCCAAATTGGAGGTCTGAGTCAAACAATGGCGTATGAGTGTATGTATGTAAGCATATACATATGTATGTGTTTACATTGTACACAGTTGCAATTGCCCGGCAAAGATAACTCCTTTCAAAGAAAGATATTCGCTATATCCGTTACTCGTGTTGTGCAAACATTTAGACTTTAATATACATAATACTATTTAAGAATGTATGTGTTTAGCCAATATAAGTATATATGTTTAATATTTCTAGTCAATTTATTGCACTCAAAAACATAAGTGTCCTTTTTTCCTGTGGTCACTATAATTCACATTATGTTAAAAAAAAAAAACGCAAGAAGGTATATTTATATTAAGTTGTTTAGCTGACTAACGGGTATATAATAGTCGAGGCACTCGACTATAGCGTTCTCTCTTGTTTTGTTTATGAACGTGTCGTTCTCCAATGTGTGTTATAAGTTATGGGTAATTGATGGATTGCTTCTTCTAAACACATCATAGCATTCTTAAAATCAATTTATCTCACTATCCAGTTTTGGGACGGATAACAATTAATTTTCGTAATCCTTTGTAAAAAAAATGTATATATCTACACTGCGGCATAATAAATTGTACTTGAATTTTTTTTTTTTATTTTAACGCTATTCTTAAGTGAATTTATGTAAATATTGACCTAAACTTTTTTTTTTTTGCGCGGAGTCCCACGGCCCTCTTACCCGCTTAACCGACCGAGGGGGGCAGCCGTGTATCGTACGGCACGATTCGCGAGAAGATATACGCGAGATAAAGAAATATAGGTAAAAGTCTGGGAAAAAGTAATAGAAAGATCAATTTTGTGCCAATGAAGCTAGTATTAATCGTTTTAGGAGCGGCAGAGAGTCAAGATTTGAGATTATAGGATAAAGTCTGTTATAGTCAGAACCTAATACTCTGAAAGGCTCATGCAAAGCATAGTTTGATCTGCAATGATGTAATATTAGGAAAATATAAATTCTAGTTAATCTACTTGGCACAGAAAAGTTTAGCCGACTTACGAAGTCGGGGCTGTCAATATCACCTTGTATAAGGTTATAAATGAAGACAGTACCAAGCATCGTTCTACGGTTGGCTAGGGAGGTTAAATTAATCAACAGAAGTCTACTAGAATAAGAAGGTAAATTAAGATTTTTTGTACTGATTTATTACGACCAATATGTATTCCGTATTGTGGACTCCAGACGGGAGACCCATACTCCAGAATCGGACGGACTAACGAAATAAATAAAGTTTTAGTTAAATAAGGATCATCGAATTCTTTTGACCACCTCTTAATAAATCCAAGCACTCCTCTGGCTTTATTAACCATGGACGAAATATGCTTTGAAAATTTTAGTTTAGGGTCCAAGAGAACTCCAAGATCGTTTACAAGTGTTATTCCATCCAAAGACCTGCCATCCTCTGTGACCTGCCATTCAGATAACTTGAGATCCATTTAAGAAGATCAATTGGAAAACCTAAAAGGTCAAGTTTTTGAACAAGAAGTAAGTTATTTACAGAGTTAAATGCTTTACTATTAAAGCCCTTTATCACAAATGTAGTGAGCTCTAGAAGGTTTGGGATTGTGGATCTACGTTTAATAAATCCGTGTTGACACAGAAAAATGATTGATCTTCAAAGGTGCTGCAGATGAGAAGTTATGATTTTTTCGAAAATCTTAGGAATAGCTTAGAACTTAGAAATACCTCTTTAGTTACTAGCTTCTAACTTGTTACCTTTTTTGAAAAGAGGAATAACAAATGATTCCTTCCAAATATTTGGGAATTGGGAAGTTTCTAGAGATAAGGTAAACAACTTGTGAAGAGGTTTGCACAATGCTTTAGCGCAATACCTAAGCACGTACCCAGGAATACCATCGGGCCTGGCGAATAAACAGGCTTAATACAAAGAAGATCCAAAAGAAGAGAGCTTTCTGTTAAGTGGGACAGAATATGAGGTTTGACTTGGATATGGTGTAAGAA